TTCAATGATTCCCTCCCCCAACCAAACCCTAAATGGCTGAGTCAAGTAATGATGTAAGTAGAATGATCCCTCCCCCCCAACCAAACCCTAAATGGCTGAGTCAAGTAATGATCTAAGCTGAATGATCCCTCCCCCCCAACAAAACCCTAAATGCCTGAGTCAAGTGATGATCTAAGTTCAATGATCCCTCCCCCCCAACCAAACCCTAAATGGCTGAGTCAAGTAATGACCTAAGTTCAATGATCCCTCCCCCCCAACCAAACCCTAAATGGCTGAGTCAAGTAATGATCTAAGTTGAATGATCCCTTCCCCCCAACCAAACCCTAAATGGCTGAGTCAAGTAATGATCTAAGTCAAGTAATGATCTAAGTAATGATCAGTGTTGATCATTTTCCCTGTAATGTTTGTATATGATTGGGTTCCAGAAGTGACGCCTCAGTACCAATGGGGAAACTGGAAAATCGACTCGCCCTCGACGCCGAAAAGTGCTTTTTGTGTTGGAAGTGAGTTGATTTTTGGTGTTGGGAGTGAGTTCTTGGTGTTGGGAGTGAGATGGTGTTGGAAGTGAGTTGATTTTTGGTGTTGGAAGTGAGTCGTTAACCAGCATAATCATCATCATCATCACCTTCATCACCACCAGCATCACCATCCTCTTCAGCATCATCATCATCATCATCATCACCATCATCATCATCACCATCATCACCATCAGCATCATCATCATCATCATTTTCAGCATCATCAGCATCATCAGCATCGACAACAACAACAAGAGCAAGAACAACAACAAGAGCAAGAACAAGAACAACAACAACAACAACAGCAACAACAACAAGAAGAAGAATAATAAGAAGAACAAGAACAACAAGAACAACAAGAAGAAGAAGAAGAACAACAAGAACAACAACAACAACAACCACAACCACAACGACAACGATAGCGAGAAGGACAACGACGACAACAGCAACGACAACGTTAACGACAAGGACAACAAGAATGATAGCGACAACGACAACGGCAAGGACAACGACAGCGATAAGGACAACGACAACGACAACGAAAACAACAACAGCAACGACGACGACGACGACAACGACGACGACGACGACGACTATACTACTACTACTACTACTACTACCACGACGACGACGACTACTACTACTACGACGACTACTACGACGACTACGACGACTACGACGACTACGACTACGACGATGACTACAACCACGGCAAGAACAACAGCAACAACAACAACACCAGCAACAGCAACCACAACAACAACAACAGCAACAACAACAACAACCACGACAGCATCAACAACAACAACGACAACGACAACAACAACAACAACTACAACAACAACAACAAAAACAACAACACGAACAAGAACAATAACAACAACTGTTGTGGTTGTTGTGGTTGTTGTGGTTGTGGTTGTGGTTGTGGTTGTGGTTGTGGTTGTGGTGGTTGTTGTTGTTGCTGTTGCTGTTGCTGTTGCTGTTGCTGTTGCTGCTGCTGCTGCTGTTGCTGTTGCTGTTGCTGTTGCTGTTGTTGTTGTTGTTGTTGTTGTCGTTGTCGATGATGATGATGATGTTGGTGATGTTGTTGTTGATGTTGTTGATGTTGTTGATGTTGTTGATGTTGTCGATGTGGTTGATGTTGTTGTCTTCTGCATCCAGTTGGAGCTAAGTTGGGCCATCTCGGGGCTATGTTCGGCCATCTTGGAGCTATGTTGAGCCATCGTGGGGTCATGTTGGGCGATCTTGGGGCCATGTTGGGCCTATGTTGGGCCATCTTGGGCCTACCTTGGGCCAGCTTGGGGCCAGCTTGGGGCTATCTTGGGCCATCTTGGGGCCATGTTGGAGCCATTTTGGGCCATCTTGGGGCTCATCTGGGGCCATCTTGGGGCTATGTTGGGGCAGGGGGGTACCCCAAAAATTTTAAGTCCGATTTATGTTGATTTTTCGGAAGAGCCAAAAACACCGTAAATTACGAGGTTTTTTTTGACTTTGGCTTGGCAGCCCTATAGCTAAACCTACGGCCTTCGGCCGGGGGCTTTGCCGATCGACAGGGCCTGCTGGCCCGATTTAAGCGCTTACGCGCGACAGCCGGCCAGGGGCCCATGTTGAGGTGATATGGGTCTAGCTGGGAGCAAGATCTTAAGGCTATGTTGCCCCATCTTGAGGCTATGTTGGTCCATCTTAGGGCTATGTTGGCCCACCTTGGTGCTATGTTGGCCCATCTTGGGGCTATGTGGGCCCATCTTGAAGCTATCTTGGCCCATCTTGGGGCTATGTTGGCCCATCTTGGGGGCTATGTTGCCCGAGCTTGAGGCTATGTGGGCCCATCTTGGAGCTATGTTGGCCCATCTTGGGGGTTATGTTTGCACATTTCATGTTCCGTCATTCCACACCGATGGCTGATGCGACATATCATACTCAAGAACTCCCCTGTGTTTCTTGGCAGCGAAAAATGCTGTGCGTCGGGTTGTTGCGGCGCTGAGGGTTTTGCATGGTAGCCGGATTGCCTGGTTGCCTATCAGAATCTATAGTGGCAGGGTTCTGAGATGACAGAGGAAAAGGGAACCATTAGGAGGACCTCGGACGGGGTACCCATCTATGATGGAACAGCGGAACATTTCCTACTGTTCAAGGAAAAGTGCTACAAGTACGTACTTTCTTTTGAGCGACACAAAAGGTATCTTGCTGGACCAAGAATTGTCAGAGAGCTTCAAGGTTTGGCGAAGGCTGTGGTGAGGCGTCCCTTAGCCCAGAATCCTATGTGGGTCGACCATCCCGGGGGAGTGAAGACCCTTTTGGATTTCTTAGAGGCTAACCTGGAACGCCCCTCACTGGTCAATGCATCCCGGTATGTCAACAAGTTCTTCTTTAGTTTGAAGCGGAAACGCATGGAGACGATGACTGCTTGGATCAACAGACATAGTGAAGCCCTTTGGGAAGCCAACAAAGCCATGAAACGTGTGCAGGATGAGTATGGGATGAGTGATCAGGCTATGAGTAGTCGGTCACATAGCTCCAACACTCGTCATGGTTCCTCCATACCAGATGATGACGTGGAAGCACGTTCCACACCCGGTCCATGGGACGATGATGGTCGTCTCCGAGAGGACGGAGAAAGTGAAGAGCCCAATTCAAATGCCCTCCGCAGAAATTCTTGGTGGAGCTCAGAAGGTTGGAGCTGGAGTCAAGGCCAAGGCCGATGGGTCTGGTCCGATTGGAGTGATGATGCCATTCCCGCTTTTGATGAAGTCACCAATGAGACCTTTCTCCCAGACTTCTTAGTGGGGTATCTTCTTTTGAACCGCAGTGGATTGGACTATGCAGAGAGGAACAACGTCCTGGCCAACATTCGGGGCCGTTTCAGCGTGAGGACTGTCGAGAAAGCCTTGCGAGATTTGTGGTCCGACGAAGACATATATCGTCGTGACAAGGCTAAAGGCCATGCTCTGTTTGCTGAAGATTTTCCTGAAAATGGTGAGGATGAGAACGCCTATGTTGCTGAATCTATGCCTGATTTTGGGGATGACTGGGAATGCCATGAGGCGTACCTGGCTGCGGAGCAGACGGCCTTTGAGGCTCAGGAGCAGATCCAAGAGTCTCGCCGCACACTTCGTGAGGCGAGGCAGAAACAACATGACCTTCGTCTTGGTCGACAATACTACCAGTCCACTGGGAAGGGGAAAGGCCACTCCAAGTCTTGGGGAAAAGGTGGCAAGGGAAAGGCATCCAACAAGTCTTCCAGCATAGTGTGTGTTCGTTGTGGGGGTGATCACTATGCCAGTCAATGCCCCAACACTCCATCCAACCCTGAGAAGTCCATGATTGCCGAGGAAGCCGCAGAGATTGCATTTCATGCCCAGCACTTTGCTGGCACCGCTGAGGCAGAGGAAGCCAGCCTCCTGGCTGTGAAAGACCTTATCCTGCAAGGAAAGGGTATCCTGGATTGTGGGGCGACCTCTAGCCTGGGTTCCGTTGAAGCAGTGGAATCCTTGATGCGGTTGAATTGTGAGAAGGGTGGAAGCCATCAAGTTGAAGTTGATCTACAAAACCGACCCACTTTTCGGTTCGGGAACGGACATCGGAAAACCTGCCTTTCTACGGCAAAGGTGGCTATGAAGCTGGGAGGAAAGGCGGGCAACATGGAAGTTCATGTACATGATGCGGCGAATCAGCCCATTCTGATTTCTGTCAAGGCATTGAAGTCTCTTGGAGCTGTGGTCGATTTCAAGACCGGCCACTGCATTTTCCAGACTGTCAATCCCAAGAAGGTGATTCAACTGACGGAGGAAGAGAATGGACATTTGACCATGCCTTTGACTGGCGATCTGCTGAAGGGTGCTGAGAGCCGTGGTACAGATTTTCCCGGCCTTTTTGCAGAATAGGGACAGCACTCCCCTGGGGAAAATGGTTTGAAGGAACCTCAGGGGAGCCACACGTCATTCCCTTCTACTGAACCCGAGCGTAGGGGTGTTTCTGTTTTGCAAGGCATTTTGCCTGATCAGCATGTTTCCAATTTTGTTTGTCCTCATGACATGTCAGTTTGCCAATCGTGTGGACTGCAGGTAGTTTTAGGCACCAGATGCAATCTCTGTGAGGAAGTTGTTGAACAGTGTTTGTTTTGTGAAACTAGTGCTCAGAGATCTCATTCTTCTAGTGCTTGCTCGATCAAGTTCGGTGACTGTACTTCCAATGCCGTCTACGACCGTGGGAGAGCTTCGCGAACGACTTTTGGCCTTGGGGGAGAGAGCACCTCGGTCCTGGACCGGTCTTCAGATCAAGGCCAGGATTGCTGCTCTGAAGGAAGAGCGCCAGGCTCTTCAACTCGATGCCATGGAGGAGGAGATGAAAGTGCTCAAGAAGGCTGCTCGGAAGAAGTCAGATCTTCAGATGCTGTTGGACAAGGAAAGCGTGACCTTCAACCAGTCGGACACCATCAGCATCATGTTCAATCGCATGGAGAAAGTCATCCGGGAGAAGTACGAACCACAGGACACAGAGATGGTGGGGTTTGGAGCTCATGCCGAGCTGACCTACAAGGAGTTGATGGAGACGAACTACCAGTACCTACTCTGGTGCGAGACCACAGTGGGGGAAGGCCAGGCCAATTGGCGAATGCAGAGGCTTGTCAAATGGTTCAAGATCCAGAAGACCAAGGTCAGCAAGCAGGGCTACCCAAAACAACCACCTGTGATTTCTACACCCAGGAAGACTGCTATGGCAAGAGCGCCCCATGTTTCCGACTCCGAACCCAGCGACTTCTCCGTCATCAGCCATCAGGACGAGATCTCCCGTCTTCAGGCAGAATTGGCCAAGGTCAGACAGGAGAAAGCGGAGCTTCAGGAGGAGAATACCGAGATGTCTCGAACTCTGGATCGCACCAAGACTCGCAAGGAGATGTGAGCTCAGAGTCTGCTGTGGAGGCACTTGGGGAATTAAAGGACCGGATAACCCCACATGTTACCAACTTCTTTAGACTTAGACTGACCATAGAAGAGCAAGAAGGGAAGAGGAAGTATAAGAGTGATGGAGCGGTGATGGTGGGTGAGTTTGTGTGTATGTATGTATGTTCATGTACAGTGAGTGAGTGAGAGTGTGAGTGAGTGATGTGAGTGTGGTGTGTGTGAGTGAGGGATGTGAGAGTGAGTGAAGTGAGTGAAGTGAAGTGAAGTGAAGTGAAGTGGAGTGGAGTGAAGTGAAGTGAAGTGAAGTGAGTGAGTGTGGTTATGTGAGAGCTATCTATCTATCCATCTATCCATCCATCCATCCATCCAGCCATCGATCTTTGTGTGTATGTGTGTGACTGAGAGTGTCAGTGAGTGAGTGAGTAAGTGACTGAGTGAGTGTGAGTGAGTGAGAGTGAGCGAGTAAGGGAGTGTGAGTGAGTGAGTGAGTGCCAAGGGACGCCAAATGCACATTGTCCCACACCTGCCACGCAAAATGCACATTGTCCCACGCCTGCCACGCAAAAGAGGCGGAGCCCAAGGGACGCCAGGGCGTACACCCGACCCCTTGGCAATGCACATTGTCCCACGCCTGCCACGCAAAAGAGGCGGAGCCCAAGGGACGCCAGGGCGTACATCCGACCCCTTGGCAATGCACATTGTCCCACACCTGCCACGCAAAAGAGGCGGAGCCCAAGGGACGCCAGGGCGTACATCCGACCCCCTTGGCAATGCACATTGTCCCACGCCTGCCACGCAAACGAGGCGGAGCCCAAGGGACACCAGGGCGTACATCCGACCCCTTGGCAATGCACATTGTCCCACACCTGCCACGCAAAGAGGGTCGGGAGAGACCAAGGGAGCCAGGGTGGGACGTTACATCCGACCCTTGGCAGTTGTTTGCACTATGTTCCCACGGCCGCCACGCAACAAGCGTGGCGCCGAGACAAGGGGACGCAAGGGCGTACATAAAGACCACTCCCGGCCCCCGCGTAGACATCCGGTCCCCCCCACACCGCCAACATGCCACGCAAAAGCGGCGGAGACCACTGGACCGCCAGGGCTAAATCGAGCCTTGGCGGTTGCAATTTGTCCCAACGCCTGCCAGCAACCGAAGGCGGAGACCCAAGGGACGCCAGGGCAGTTACATTTCCGACCTTGGCTGCTCACATGTCCCCAGCACGCACGAAACGAAGGAGCGAGACAAGGGACGCCAGGGCGTACATCCGACCCCTTGGCAGTGCACATTGTCCCCCGCCTGCCACGCAAAAGAGGCGGAGCCCAAGGGACGCCAGGGCGTACATCCGACCCCTTGGCAATGCACATTGTCCCACGCCTGCCACGCAAAAGAGGCGGAGCCCAAGGGACGCCAGGGAGTACATCCGACCCCTTGGCAATGCACATTGTCCCACGCCTGCCACGCAAAAGAGGCGGAGCCCAAGGGACGCCAGGGCGTACATCCGACCCCTTGGCCATGCACATTGTCCCACGGCTGCCACGCAAAAGAGGCGGAGCCCAAGGGACGCCAGGGCGTACATCC